TAACATCTGTGGAATATAGTTTGGGAAACATTACTTTAGATCAGAGTTTCCAGTTCATACCATGCTGCAAGTGAATGAATTCTCCACGTTTTGACCTGGACAGTTAATTACAGAGGTGTATGACATATTTCTGTTTATCAAATTCTTTAATGACAGAGTCACCCATATTTCCTTTTTGGCCTGCTCTGACCCCCGAGGGGGCTGTCTTTCTCACCTCCTCCTCCCAGGAGGAGTGGAGCTGAGCATCACCCCTTTTCTGACACCGGCTCTGCAGAGTCGCGCGCCGGGGAAAGCAGGCAGGTGGTCATCAACATTTTAGTGCTCTAGGTCAGAAGTTGAGACTAGGAGTAAGGGCGCATCTAGTGCTGTGGGAGAGACTGAGGGAGGCACCTCGGGTGGACACGTGACCGCGGGAGGCGGGTAGAGCTGGGACCTGGGGAGAGAGCAGGGTCCTGGGGCTACAGGTGGATGGGGACTGTAGCGTCAGCTCAGCGGCTTTCTTGGCATGCCAGGGCCCCCACCCTCCTTCCCACAGAGGTCCTGTCTCCCCTCCTGCCCATCCTCACTGTGCTCCTTGAAGGGAAGGCACCCAGCGTCTGTTTTGGTTCCTCATTTTTAAAGAGATGAAGTTATTGGATGGACCACTTTTGTAGACTGGTAAGGATGTGCCACTGTCGGCCAGTCGGGATACATGAACTTGAGCACATGGGGCCACTTTGGTCAGCTCTGTCCTTGGCATAGACCCTGGTGTGTAAAAGATGTTAGGAACAGCTTCTCTGTCCCTAATACCCAGTGTATGTCATCCTCCCCAGGACAGTCCTGTAAGATCTAGCAGGGAGACACTGAATCTGAACGTCGGTGAGCTCAGCCAGGGGCTGCAAGGTCTGAGAGAGCTGTCATCTCATCAAGGCCCTTCATGCTATCTGGCATGGGATGTAGTACAACGGATGTGTCTATTGCCGGGAAGAGAGCATTTTGCCTGGACTGTTCAGTCTCTTACTTCTTTGAAGGCTTTCCCCTTATTGGCAGACACCCCATGAGGCAGGGATGATGTGTTCACTGACTTTGTACTCCCAGCCCTACCAGGGTGCCTGTCATGGGGTAGCTCTTTAGTGTATGCCTTTTGAACAAAGGAAGGGTTAGTGGATTAGGCACTACTCCATGGTAGCTATTGACAAGTTGGACACATGACTGGGATTCAATCCCATGGCCTGGATGCCTGGAGCTAAATGGATCCCAGCAGTGGCATGGACCTTTTGCCTTTCCAAGGCTGTTTTGTTTTTGGTTTTTATTTACTTATTTATATTATTATTTTTTAGAAAGCAGGATTTATTGAGAGGACAGAAAAGCTCCCACAATGGGAGGGGACCCGAGGGGGTTGCCCTGTTTTTTGTTTTTAAAAGAGACAGAGTCTCACTTTGTTACCCAGATTGGTCATGAACTCCTGGATTCAAGGGATCCTCATGTCTCAGCCCCCCAAGTGACTGGGACTACAGATGTGCACCACCACACCTGGCTAATTTATTTTTTAATGAAGTCTCACTGTGTTGCCCAGTCTGGTCTTGAACTCCTGGACTCAGGAGATCCTCCCACAGTGCTGGGATTGCTAGTGAGTTCCTGTGCCTGGCCCAAGGTTATTTGGGTGGTTCGGTGGGCTGTGCTGCTATGGGCTGGTCTGTGTCCCATCGTGCTCCAGGCACCAACTCGCCAGGCCCAGTAGGAGCTGGGAGACAAGGAGAGGGGAGTGGGCCTGCTTCCCAGGAATGCCTTGGAATTGGGAATCCTTGTTTACAGTTTTCTATTCATTTATATTCAGTTCTGTGGTGCTTCTGGTCACTGAGGTATCAAAATTCTGTCACGGGGCAGGCCCTACATATAAAATAGTCGTGAGAGGGTGCAAAATGTCACTTAAAAGAGATAGCAGGACACCTGAGGGAACGTGACCTAATTACAAGCACATCCGCCACTCGGGACCTGTAGCTGAGGCCTTCTGTGGTGGAGGCGGAGCCTGCACAGGGGCTCACAGCAGCGGGGTCCTCTCGCCTTCCCACCCAACTGGGCCTCCCACTGTGGCTTCTGGTTTTCACTGAAAGGCCTCTGGTTTCCACCATCCTGAGCCCACCATGGCCAGACCTCTCCACAGCGCATCCTGCATCAGTGTCCACTGAGTAGGGAACACTTTTCTCCAGCCCCAGCAAAACCACCTGCTACATCCATCAGTCTACTCATCCAGCCACCCACCATGTTTCAACACCGTGTGGCAGGGGCTGTGCTAGGCCCTGGGGATCAAGCACCAGTGAGTCCAGTCGCTTCCCCGAAAACGTTCACAGGCCGGCTGGGGCGACAGACGTATGTACACGCAGACAAAACACAGTAAATAGCAAACATTATGCCATGTTGCAGAGAACTGTGGGCAGACAGAACAGGTGGAGGGACGAGGGAGTATAGAAGACCCCAAGACCGTAGCTGTTGCCACGGGCCTCGGTCATGATGAGTTACCCTGTGCTAAAGCATTGGCTTTTCAGCTCTGTGCTTTTATAGCAAAGTTGTTTTTCTCAGTAAAATTCTGCGTGGACCACTAAAAACTCAAACCCAAGCCCAGTATTTCTGGTTAAGTTGGGGGCAGGGTGAGGATGGGGGTGGTCTAGAGAGCTCTGCTTGACTGTCCACGTCTCCCATGGTGGCCAACATTCTGGTTACTGTTGAGGACATTGCTTTGCCTTGGAAGGGCCTAGTACCTACAGGCAATGGACAAATCTATAGGCAATTGTGTCATTCCAGCCTCAGGGCAACACCGGACATCTAGGCGTCTCTTCTGGGCAGGAGATGCCCAAGTATGATACTCACAGGTAGGCAGGGGTTGGGTCAGAGTAAAGAATTGGTTTCCTTTTCTGAGAATGGAATGCCTTGCTGGTCTTGGCTCGGGGCAGAGCTTGTGGGGTGCTCACCGTGAGGTGGGGTGCCTCTATGGCCAGTTTCTCCTGAGGGGAGAAGCCTGTTCTGGGACTTGTTAGTGCCGAGATCTCTGCTAGAGGAGCTGTGGTTTCTGGTCAGACCTTGTCTGCAGTCCCCCAGGGAACCCGGGAGAGCTGTGGGGCTCTCTGGGGGTGGCCGAGAGGACACCTGGCAGGGGAAGGTGACAGGCCAGGCCAGCGGAGGGGAGCTGAGCTGACCATGAGTCATCCTGTCACTGCTACCGACTGGCTGGCCCTGTGAAGTGCTGCAGTGCTGGATCCTGGCAGAAGCATGTGGTGTGTGTTGCTGGCTTAGTTAATCCTCACCACGATCCCATGCCTTGGGATTGTTTTCACCCTCATTTTGCTAAGGCCCAGAGAGGTTACATGGGTAATTAGTGGCTGAGCTGCAGTCAAACCAGGGCAGTCAGGCTCCCCGAGAGTGCTCCTGAGTCTTGCCTCCCACACCTCTCACCCTAGCTTCATAATGGAAGGGTCACCTGGTGTCTCTGAACCGGGGATTCTCATGTGCGGCTGTAGCTGAAAAGCACCAGGTGCAGAGTACTCCAGCGTCTGTTCACATTCAGCCTCCTGATGCAGACGGGGGCAAGGTGGTGCCAGCCGCCTTGCTGACTGGTAGAGAGAGGTGGAAGACAGAGAGTGCTCCTCACACGACAGCTCCTGCCTGACAGGCCTCTGCCTTAAGGCCGCCTCGGCCTGTCACCCTGAGCCAGTCTCCCAGCAGGCCGCTCTGGGCATGGGAGGCTTGGGGATTGGGAATCAGGGTTGCAGGTGGAGGAGAACATATGTTGGTTTCATTCCTCTTTCCTTGATGTCTCTGTGCCGACCTACCCATTCAGGCCTTGGCTGTGTGCTCTTTACAAAAGGGGTTGCTTCCAGCTGTGTGCCTGATGGGCCAGGGAGGACTGAGATGAGGGTGTCCTTGGTGCTTGCACCCGGGTCATGCAGACTGTGGACCTTCCAGGGCTGACCGCTCCCCACCCAGCCCCATGACTGCAGCAGGTGTGTGTTGTCCAGACCCTTTGGCTTGTCTACCATTTCCTGTCCCTGGCCATTTCTCTGCTCCCTCACTTTCAGTAGAAGTTTTGGCTTCTTTTCTTTGTGACCAATTCATGAGTAGGAGCTTTGGGGTGGGAGGAGGCAGAGAATGGAAGAAGAATTTTGGATTAAATGTGGATCGTCATTAACTATGTTCTTTCTGCCCCTCATGAGCAGGGATGACTAAGATTTGCTTTATAAAGGATTAGGATGCCTGGGCCATTCTGCAAGTCGGGGTTTTTCTTAGAATCAAATATTAAGCAAGAAAAACAAATCCAACATAAAGCCCTGAAGCAAAAAAATCCAACAGAAAATGCCATTCTGTTCAAACTTATGGCCCGTAGGAAAAATTTCAAAAATATTCCTTCAAAGGGCCAAGCAGCAGGCTTCCCATTTAAGCTTTGCAACTGTTATAGGATGTATCTGTCTCTTACATACCACTTTGAAATTTTACCCTTCTCATCCTGAATGATCAAATACCTTCTCTTGCTGACTCGCATTCTGCAGTCCTGAATAGTATGGCTATTGTTCTCCAGCAGGGGACAGTTTGAGTGTCACATCATTCGAGCAAGGTATTGACGCCAACCAGCATTATTCTTGGGTCTGCCTTTCTCTTTGGTCCCCTTTCTTCTGAGCCTAAAGAGATCACTTTCAGAAAGGCGGTTGGGTTTTCTAGGTTAGGGCAAACTCTGAACGCTTCCTAGTGGGCTTTGTGGCCACGAAGGGATGGCTCTCTTCTACCACCCACGGAGCCTGGGTAGACTTGCCATGGCCATCTGTAAGGGGCTGGTTTTCCAGAGGTCTCTTGCTCAAATGCACTCTGAAGAACTTTTGTTTCCAAAGTCAATTTATTGAATATTAAGTCATAAAGCCAGTGATATAATTTTAATGAAAAATATCCTGTGTCACTCAAGACTTAAAAGAGCAAAAATACCCCTTAGAAACACTGCTTTGAAAAATAATCACATTGACTTTACACACAACAGAGTCCTTTCTTAAGCTTTATTTAAGAAATCGAGTACTATATAGTTCAATATATATAAGACACATCCAGTATTGTGTTCCTGATAGCAAGTGCATAGATTTTGTTAAGATATCATTTTCACTCAATATAAACGTTTCATGGTCACATGAAGATAATATTCCCAGTGATTTTGCCCAAGCATGAGAGGAGAAAACAGAACACAGCAAAATCGTGAACTACGACAGATGAAAAACAAAAACAGCAAATTAGCAGAACAGTCGATTCCTGATAAGTGAATAAGCTGATTGTTTGGTCACAATGTTTTATTCACTTATCAGGAACGATTCACAGTACATTTATGTTCACTGTGTGTCCTAGCCTGCCAGCTAAGGGTCTGAGCCCCTCGACTGCACGCAGCTGCCGTGGGCTGGGCAGACGTGTGGCTTCCATCGGCAAGGTGGATGGAGGTGGTTCTGTGATTTCCCAAGGTGGCCCATGCATGGCAAATGGAACCACCTTGCTCACACTGCAGCGGTGGTGTACAAAATCAAAATGATAGTATGAATTTAAGCAGAGACCAATTCTACAGTCAGAGGTGCTTAAAGAAACTAGCGTTTTCATCCCCTTCTTTGGAGAATTATTTTCTTGCTTTCCCAAAGCAGCAAAAACTGGCTTTGTCTCTCTCTTCTTTTACATAGCATGAGTATTTTGCCTTGTGCCAAATGGTGTATATACTTATATGTTTTAAAAATAAACACTTGCACCTTGGAAAGAATTTAATCACCATCTCCCCCCCATACCTCCCAACCCTCCCCCATAAAAAAAAGAAATCACACCTGTAGCCATCTTTCCCCCAGGGCAAGCGGTGGGCTTTCAGAGGCAGGCTGATGAAGGCTAGGAGGAGGCTGAGAGCGGAAGGGTCTGCAGGCCTGGAGCTGGTGGGGTCACTACCCTGGAGGCGCTGGCTCCGGCCCTGGGGAGAGTGTCTCCTTCCATGCACCTCCCCAGGCCCTTCTGTCATGAGCCGACTAGAGAATACAATCTTGGGCCAGAGGGGATGCTGTAACAAGAGGGTGAACAGCCCAGGCACCTACAGGAGACCTCACTGGCACCCAGAGGAAGGCTGCTCGCTGCTGGGAGGCCTGAGTCAGAGTGTGTGCGTCTGAAAAACTGGAAGAGAGAGGAGACGAAGGGAGCAGACATTGATGGAATCTTTTAAGAGCACTTTAAGAGCAATCAGATTCCTGAGCAAAGGACATGGGCAGAACAGGGAGGCGGGCTTGTGGCCCAGGGGTGGAGGGCACGGGAGGAGTTCTTCTTTCGGTAACTGTGTCGGGCAGTAGTGGGGACAAGGCCTGCTCCGAACTCCGCTCATCCAGGAGGGAGTGTGTGGATGCATATGGCGGTGTCAGCTGTCTCTTGGAAAGGATGGTGAGCTGTGGGTGGAGACTTGAGCATGAGGAACGTCACCTCCCCCCGCCCCAGACTGAGTATAGCTTCCATCTGAGCACCGGGAAGTATTTCTTCTCTCTTCCGTTAGTTTTAATAATTAAAGCTGCTTCTGGATTCAGTTAGCTTGTAGAAATAAATAATTTAAATTACTTTTCTATACATATCTTTTGCTTGATGGCAATACATAGACTTAAGTTTAACCCTTTTCACGTCTTCTCTTCACCAACTAGGCTTATTTTTTCCCTTAGTTGCTAAGAATTGACTGTAATGAGATGTCTTTTGACTTGTGGTAGATAGAAGGAACCCCAGTAGCAGTTTTCAGTAAGCATCAAGAACTGCAGGTCGATGTATACTCATGAGGGAGGGAGCGGTTGGGAGAGGGGCGAAGGTGAAATTAAGCTGCATGGTCAAAAGACCATAGAACGCCTCGCAAATCCAGCTCTGTAGGCAATTATGTAGGCGAACCATAGAAAAAGTGTGTGAGTCTTGGAAGCAGTGGTTAAGGTGGACTGCTGTACATAAATCAAAGGTGGCTGTGTGCAGTTTCCCTTTTCCCAAATCAGATATTCACTTAAGTGGAATCGACTGTATCTCTTTACACAACATATAGAAAAAAACAGATACGTGAAACAGTGAGGTGTGTAGATGCATCACCAACATACAATGACTACCAACAATACAACACGCAGAGAGAGAAACAAGTATTAGGAAAATGGTTTAATATTGGAGACAGAAGCAAAAAACCGCATCACACAATAACATACATTACAAAAATAAGTTTGACTGTTTCAACTACACGGTTATGTTCACAATGAAGACAGAAGAATCAGAAAAAACTTTGATCTAAACAGCAAGAAAGCAAACCCCTAAAGTTTTAACTAATACATTTATCCACTTAAAGTGACTGAGTACTTCTAAATCTAATTACCTTATTGTGTAACTGCACAATACAGAATAAAAAAGTGAAACTTACCGCTGTTATTTTAAGACAAAATTCTAATGCTAGATATAAGCAAAGGGAAAAAAGAAATCAAGCCAAAGTTTTTAATTCTTAAAAGAAAAGCAACTTTCTTTCTATCAACCCGAAATCAAACTTGAAATCAGTCATTGTCAGGGGGCCCACTAGAGTAAGCCACAAAAATTTCCATTTTTTTAATCTCCAGTATAAAAAGTTCCACTGGTACAAAATGCATAAGTACAATCAGTTGTAGAAATAGGAAAGCCTGCGTATTTTTTTTTTTTTTTTGGCTCAAATTCCATCAAACAACAAAATCCAAATGCATCAATAAAACAGAAACAATACTCAAATGGTCTTACAGTTTCCACTAGGTTGCATTAACTTTGGCTTTTCTCAGACAATATTTAAAAACTATTTTGTAATTCTAAACAAAATGATATTATTAATCTACAAACAACAATTCTCACAGCACAAAAAAACACAGATACATTTTTTGTATGACATTATTCAAAAAGGTAATGAAACTACAGGTTTTTTTAAAATTTTATTTCTTCTTTTTAATTAGCACTTAAGATAATAAAAACAGAAACAGTAAAATGATTCCAGAGTAGCACAAGCCAAAGAACTATAACCCCTATGGTGAAAGAAAGATGAACTTGTTACGCCTTTGAGGACTGCCATTTTATCACAATTCTCTAATTTAGTTTAAAAATGACTATTCTCTACACTTGATTTTAAAAAAGCAGTTTCCCTGTGTGTTTTTTCTTCTGGCACAGGCCCTTTGCACCCTTGCAGCTTTTTCCTTTTGATATTAAAAGATAAAGTGGATAAAAGGACAGTTTGTCTCTGAGGAGGTTATCTTTTTAACAATGAAACATGCAAAAAAATAAATAAACACACTTTCTCCCTAAATGTATGGTCTTGGTTGCTTGCAAACAAGAAACACTCAACTCAGAGTGCCATCCGGAGCCTCCTGGCAACTGCACTTGGGTTCTCCTTGCGGGGAGATGCAGGTGGGTTGAGCGGAAAAGGGGGCATGGGGAGGGCAGGTGGCTTCGGTGAAAAAATCAGGAACCTGCTTTTGAGATGTATGCAACTGACAAAGGAGGGGATTCTGAATGAAATGGTCTAAGAGATTCAGATGGTGTATTCTGTGTGTCTGTAGGTGTGTCTACACAGCACAGACTCTAGGTATGAGAGCTCTGTGTGGCTGCTCATGTTATCAGCTGACTGCTGCAGGAAATACAAAATAGCCCTCGAAGGCTGAAGGAAGGCCCCAGCAGTAGTAAACATGTGTGAGGATAGTGCAGATCGTCTCTTTGTAAGTGCATGTGCTGTAGGAAGGAAACTGTTGTGTTTTTTGCATCAGAGAGGCTAGTCCTTTCCATCCCGGGGCTGCCGCATCACACACATTACACCCAGCAGGGTGGTGAGTGGGCAGGGGGTGCTGAGACCGAGAAGCTTCCGGGCACGCTTTAGAAGGCTGGAGTCTGTGGGGCTGTAGGCATGACATTAGGATCTGTCAAGACAGCGAGAGTCAGAGTCATATGGCACTTTAATAAGTGGCAGCAGGAACTGGTGTAGGTATTTGGTCAGTCATTGTGATACAGATCCGAGCTTTGCTTATATGGTCAGTCCCCTTCAAATGTGTTCAATTAAAAGAACAAACAAAAAGGCCAGGAAAATACTTGTGCTTCCGCCTCCAGACACCTTGCGTATTCAGAGGTGTCTACTGGGCCGGAGAAGCCCCAGCAAAATGGCTGTTCAGACATGTTGTTGAGGAGTATTGAAGAAACAGAAGCAAGATCCCGCAAAAGTCTAGACCACCACCAAGCTGTTTAACTGCAAGGTATAGAAAAAACTGGACAACCTCAGGCCACTAAGCCCATTCTCAAAAGCAGTCAGAATTTCTCAGGATTATTCAGGTGCTGGATCCACCTCTTTTTCCCCTCAGAGAGTTTATCCAAAAAACTGTTTTTACTTAAAACTGAAGAAGGAATTTCAGTAGCACATTAGGAATTCTTTCCCAAAAAATGACCAGAAGGAATCAGAAGTGAAGGGAAAAAATGATGTAGGGAAAAAGAATTGGAGAATGCTAAAATATGTATTTTTACTTTAGATTTGCCTTGTGGAATTTTTTTCTTTTGGATCTCAACTAATGGACAAAAATGTAGTAAAAACAAAAAACTCAGTAGATATAGATGCAGGGAAAAAAATCAAATTAGAAACACCCCAAAACAAACTCAACTGATGACAGCATAAAAAGTTATCAACATACCAGATAGCTCTGGGTAGAAAGGGTTAAAAGTTCAAAACTTTCTCACCTTAGAGGTTTCCATATATTATGAAGAAAATACATCGTGAGGTTGCCTTCACAGCATTGATGTGCAGAGTGGTTAAAAAAGTGAGACATGGGCACTTGTACAATGTCTTACAAAAAACATCATAGAGAAATAACAAACAATAACAATTTCAGGCAACAAGACCACAGGATAGCAAGTTAACAAACTTTTTAACCTTTTTTTGTTTTTGTTTTTTTTAAATATTAGGGATTTATACAAAACACATAATAAAATACCCATGTTATCAAATTACTTCTCACAAGAAACACACTGAAGCTCTAGGAAGGAAGTACCTTTGGAATTTGGCACTATATATTTTCACTTTTTTTCTTTAAAAGAAAAGAAACAGATCACATTTTGCTGAACACAAACACATCTAAATAGTCCACAATAAAATAAAAAAAAATGACATCAATGCTTCACAAGCCAACACAAAACTTATTCTGGAATAGGTTTTTTTTTTCTTCCCTCACATGAAATTTTTTTAAGCAAACAACTTTTTTTTGAAATTCTTTTTTGTTTTAAGTAAACCAATTCTAAACTTGTCTTATCAACAAAGAACATTAAGACCATAAGACTCATGATGAAACCACAACTTAATTCACAGAAGCACCAACATAACACAGTTTACAGTAACCTTTCTCCTGTACATTGAAACAGTATAAAATATAGGTAATTTCATGTGCATTAAACCATGGATTGTCTAACTGTGAGTCAGTTCAGCAAAAGGTGACACAAATAGGTAGCATTTGCCCCAAAACAGGGTAAATATTTTTCTTATACTAATCTACAAAAAGTGGTTCTATATATATATCTTAATGAGAAAGTGAGCCACCTAAAATGGCCTTATCAAAAAACTTTACACTGCCTGAAAAATGTAAAAACTATTACAGACCTCTAGAGACTTAAAATCAGACAGTTTTTTTCTCAAACTGTTTTTGGAAGTAGTCTGTTAGAAACCAACATTCTGTGTCCCTGGACACATATTGCTATTGTTACCAGTGACCGGGAAGAATGCCAATCCCTGTATAATACTTTCAAGTCTGTTTTATGAAAAGAAAAAAATAAGAAAGAAACATTTTTGCCACAGGTTTTTCTTCTATAATTAATTTGTCTAATAATAAATTTCAGTCTTGCATGAATGCAGCAATGTTTTTCACATTGACTTCCCAGAATTCATAGCTAGATGAGGTCACATGCAAATTTCAAAGGTCAAACTAGATCAAAGGTCAGTAGGAGAACCAAATATGATGTGAGGTCAGAAAGACATCAGAAACAATGACGGGACGATGAAACTTTTTGAGACGCCACAGGGACATGCTAGGCAAACGATGAACTAACGGGCATGAAGATGTCTAGGGAAAAAACAAGGAAGAGTCAAAAGTTACACAGAGTCTGTGCAGCAGCAACAAAATCACTTTTAAGGGTGCAGGAGAAAACTAATGCAAATCTTAGGTCATTAGGGAGTCTACGAGCCATTCACATAATTTGCATTTCTTACACTCTTTATCCACAGCACAGTGAGACCCCAAGAGAATCCATCTGGAGAGAGTGAGAGGGGATGGATTCCAGGTGTTTTGGGGTGAGGGGCTGGCAAGGGAAGGGGAGAGGGTCCAGTTCCAACAAATGGGACAAACGGGGAAAGTCAGACGACTGAACTGTAAACTAGATCATGGAAGTTACAAACAAAATAATCAGACAGATACAAACAACAGGAGGATAAAGCATGAACTTCAGGTCTAGGGTTCAACGGTGAAAAAAAGCCCATTCCTAGAACAATTCCTCTAGAGACTACTTCAGAAGGTTCTAGCTAGACAGAGAACTGCTCTTTAGGTACCCAATAAGTTAACAATAGGCAATAAATAACTTCCATTATTTCTGAGGCAGTAAAAATTTTGTATAAAAATAGAAATGCTTTTTTTACAAATAAAATTTACAGGCCTGTGGCTTTCTTTTTTATTTATGTATTATTTATGTATGTATTTATTATTATTAAATTTATCTTTCAAGAAACATCAAGTATTTTCACTCGTTTTTATTTTATTTTTAAACCCTGTAGCTTTAAGAAACAGATCTCTAAATCTTTTTGTACATTAATCCTTTCTAAAAACTAAAATAAAACAATAACAAAATAGACAACCAGTGTAATAATTTGACCAATAAAATGTCATGTTTCTTTGAACCCTAAAATAAAATCCTACTTAGTAAAACAAACCGATGTAGTGGAAAGACGTTTGTGTTGTTTGGGTAAGTGCTTCTCCTGGCTTCTCCCTCTCTCGGCCACCGCGTCCCTCAAGGCCGGGCCTGCGGCGCCCAGCAGGGAGGGGGGTCCCCAGGCAGCGCTCTGGGGCACCCGTGGTTTCAGAGTTAGAATTGCACATTAGCGCGTGTTTGCCTTTTAAATTCTCAGGATGGCATTTATTTGTGTGTATGTTTCTCTTTAAAAAAGCAAAAACGAAAACCCAAAAATTTAAAAAAAAGGTCAAAGGAGCTTCAAATTGCAAAAGAAAGGAGAATACGGTGGCACGACTGGAGGAGGAATTGACTCGATAGAAACAAGGTAGCCCGAGTTTAATTATGGCAAACCGGGTAGGGGCAAGGGTGGGGAGATGGGCCTGATTGTAAAAATAACCGTCTCTCTTGGTAAAGTTGGCAATGTGGTCCTCCTCTGCCTTCCCTGTAGAGACAGGCTGGCTCGTGGGACTTACCCTAAGAAAGCTAAAATGAGAGCAGGGAGCCTCTGGGGTTAGGATCAGTAAGGTTTGCTGTCGTTTTTGGAGCGCTTCAGCTGCACCTTCAAGCGTTTCATGCCGATCTGAAAGCCATTCATAGCCTGGATGGCAGCTTGTGCAGAGACTGGATTGTCGTAGCTCACGAAACCTGGAAAACACCAAGGGGGGAGGGAGGGAGTCAGGCTGAGAGGAAGCCAGGCAGAGGAGACGGCCAGGGCTCTCGGGACGGGTGGCAGGAAGAGCCGGTGCTGGGTGCCAACCCTACCGTCTCTGCTCAGCTAATGGATCGTCTGCCCACCGTGAACAGAGAGGGCACATTGCCCATTGGGGCAGCGTTGGAAGTGCCCGCTGAGAAGCCATGAAAAAGCTAGCAGGACCAGACATTTGCTATCACGCAGAACAAAGCCTTCCCAGAACACTAAAATCTCAAACTCAGTGGTTTGAGTGAATTCAGTCTATTTACTGATTTCAGTCAAATCACTAAGGTTTCAAGTTCCTTCCCCAGAATCTCTCTGCTCATATAAGTCCTGGTATAACTGTGTGGGGGTGGGGATCGGGGTGGGGCAGGGGGCTTAAAGGTGGCTCATTAAGGGAGGGGCCGCAGACAGCAGAACTTCCAAGGACCCTGCCTTTCATTCCACCTCTCCATGTACAGTCACAGAAGAGCTCACAGCTGTTTGGCTAGAGGAAGGGTCAGTTAGTGAATTAACTCTAGAATAATTTATACTTGCTTCTTAGCGTTCTGGAGTCATACTGACAGGAGCCCAGGGATGTGTTGGGCTTTTCTCAATTTCCATTTCCAAAGCTCCTATACATTCACCAAAAAGGAAACCGCTACCTGTCTTGAGGAATAAATGTCTAAATGGCTCAGGGCTTAAGAGAATTCCCAATATCTGTCTCTGTAGCAGCCACTGCCACCAAATACAGCAGGGAGGGCACGCTTTCTAGGAAGAACTAGTGATACTGTGCAAAGGTCCAGAAACGAGAGAACCTGGATCATATGATTGGTCCTAGCCCTGGAGTGAGGCAGCAGCAGGGGTATGTGTGAAGCTTTAATTAATGCTCATGCAAATGGCAAGCAGGACAGCTCTGCTTCCTTTGGGTGGTGAAAGGAAGCTATTAAACAGATTTACCTTCAGTTCTGAACATCAGCTGCTCAGAGGGTTCTATAATAAAGTTTAAAGCTAAAGAAAAAATTCCTTTACAAACTAGAGGAGGAAGAAAAGGACATATCTCAACAGAGTTCTCCTCCCAGTTGATAAAAAGTAGCATCTGGCATAAGGCAGAAAAGCTTTTCAGAGTCAGGCTGTATTGCAAAATGATTGTTTACATTTGTATTAAATCTAAATCCCACTAAATGTGACCTTGAATCTAAGATTTTTGTCTGTCTTTACTTTTTCCTTTTTCTCTGGGTCTTTGTCCAGAAGTAGCAAGATGATTACAGAATGGGACTGGGTCAAGGGTAAGATGGATACACAACTTGGCCAAGAGGTATGGAGGAAGGAACAGGTGCACCTTTTTTACTAGCAATCAGTCAAGGGTGGGGGGCTGTCCTAGGAGGTTAGTCACATGTACTATTGCGGTCAGTCCCCTCATGCTTACTGAGAAACCTGGGATGCTCAGTTTTCTCATAGAAATTGAAAACACAGTCCATAGTGCTAAATAATCAAAATAATTGCTGATACTAATAGCTACAGCTTACACTACTGTGAACACATTGGTTAAGTGTTTGATCGTATCAGGAGGCTGATATAATCTCTCTTCAAAGCAGTACATATTTTCTGAAAACAAATCACAAAGCAGAATCCCTTTCTAGTCTCCAAATAAGCTTAGGACATTGCTTAGCTATGAAAAATATAAAAGTCTGCCTCAAGATCTTAGGTAAGCTCACGCTTAACCCCACTCTCCCATATAACAATTTAATTTCCATTTCACTCTCTCATGAACCATTACGAAGGGGTTTATATCGTTGCCACAGTAGCAGTGCTCCTATGGGTTAAGGCTGACAGCCTCTCCACTAGGGTGAAAACAGTGACTTGAAATGGCTGATATGCTAATTCCCCTAACAACAGAGGCTTCAGACCTGCCTGGGAGAAAGCACTGAGATTAGAAAGACATTACAATGATAGAGTTCTAGAAGCCCAAACATCCCCTTTGGAAGGGTTACCCGTTACCAGCCAGCCAAACAGTAAGTCTAGGAGCTTCCCAAAATACAATTCTATGGGCTTCCTCTGCCCACATCCCGTCCCCTTTGTCATATGCTACTGCTGCCACCTCCCATCAGCATGGACTGTTAAACTTCAGGAGAGATCAGAGCAATGTACTAACTCAAACTGGGCCCTGAGCTTGCCAAATGAGTCATGTATACTCTGAACATCCTGGTCTCAAAACTACTTTGGGGGCCAAAAGGGTTCAGAAGTAAAGCGGGAGGAGGTTTCATGCATGCTGTCGTCCTGGTATAAAGCATCAGTGCACAGAGTGAGTTCTTCCTCCCTCAGGGAGCAGAAACGCCACAGGGGGCGGAATCCAGGCTTCTGAAGGGAGGATGGCATGGTGACTCGGGCTCATCCTCTGCCTGCAGACCTACGATCTGCCGCTGCCTGAACACATCCGTGCTTGTGAGCAGGTGCTTGTGAAAATGTGTCTGTCTGGATGCTGACCAATAGGCCCCTAACATGGTGTGTTACCTTGAGTCATGTCAAACCTGGGGGCTAAGGAACTGCTGGCCAAGTGTCTACCATGCCATTCTGTACTGGAGAGCCTCAACTGCAGCCTGCTAACCTGTATTTCCATCTGATAAAAGTTACCGGTTCAGTCTGTGGGGTTGGAAGAAACAGCCCCTGCTCTACAATGAGGGGTTATTTGCTGTGTGTGGTCACATACTTTCATCAGAGTATCATCAACATTACCTAACATATGGCTATTTGGTTTAAATTCCTGAGCCTCGTTGTGTAGCTCCTTACCTCCCCTTTTTAAATTCAATAACCTTGCCCAAATTTGCTCACGTGTGTTCAGAAAACCAGAAACCACCACCACACAGGGAAGGCCCTATTCTGACTCTGAAAATATTTGTCAGTCACATTTTCCTTCCCGTGATCCTTCACTTGGAAACCAACTGCAATTTTCTAGCTTAAGTTTCTTTTGCATACCAAAGCACTTGCTCAGATTGGTCTGTTTGTCAATGAAGACTTTAGCAGAGATAACATTTCCAAAAGGCATGAACATCTGCAGAATGTCCTGGTCTCCAAACTCCTGTGGAAGGTGGTAAATAAAGAGGTTTGCCCCCTCTGGACCTAGAGGAAAAGAAAATCAGAGTAAGGTATCCCTTGAGTCTTAGTTTCCAAAGCCTCTCCTCAGGAATACTTTAACAACAGGTAGGCTAAGCATTCGGCTTTCTCTCACGCAAAAAGAGAATGAGCAGATGGACAAGTGTCAAGTGCTGGGTGTCTCTCAGGAGAGCACCCATCCCTCAGATCTTCCTGATTTCCAGAGACATTGGCTACAGATGGCTTCCTTTTCACTGACACTCTTCTGTGGGTTGCATGTACTATTGTGGTCAACGCGTCGGTCCCCTCGTCATGGGGCTGGGGGTTTGGGCAGGTAGTCTAGACGTGGGCTTTTCTTGGGCGGCCATATTTTCCCTTGTGTATAGGCTGGCTCTTGCAGCAGCAGTCCCCCACATTTTTGGCATCAGAGACCAGTTTCATGGAAGACACGTTTTCCACGGACAGGGTGGGGGAAGATCATCAGGCATTAGGTTCTCATAAGGAGCGTGGAACCTAGATCCCTTGCCATGTGGCGTTCACAGCAGAGTTTGTGCTCCTACGAGAATCTAATGCCGTGGCTGATCTGACAGAAGGCTGAGCTTCAGTTGCTGCTCACCTCCTGCTGTGCGGTCCGGTTCCTAACAGGCCACGGCCCGGGGCTGGGGACTCCTGCCTTAGAGGAAAGGAGGGTGTTCTGTGCATTCCGAGTAAATTGCAACCGTTGACAATAATGGATGTAGCAGGGGTGGTGCTCAGATCTCCCAATCGTCTGCCTGGTTGTCCAGCCAGCTTTGATTCGCCAGATCTCTTAACAATGACTGGCAAGGAGTCAAGGCAGGGGAAAAAGGCAGCTGAGTCTCGCGCCTTTGGTGGGAATTAGCCCACTGGGGGTTAGCCTTGGGAAGGAGGCAGTGGATGTAGAAGCCAAAGGCTGAGCGGGACAAACTCGCACCTTCCCCACCCTTGTCCAGCCTCCTTGTTCTGCCCGAGAAGCAAGGCAGGGCAGGGAAGACCTTATGCTGTACAGTCAGAGAGATGAGCACTCCTAAGTTCCTCTCCATTTCCCTCTCCTGACTCCCACCCACCCTTCGAGAGTCTCTGGAAGTTAAAAGAAGTGACCAGGAGAAGGGAGTCCAGAGGCGCAGGAGGGAGAAAAGGACCCGGTGATTCTTGGGTGTTTGAACGCGGTGTCTGAGGGAGGATTCACAGAAGTGCTGAGTTAGCTTCTGCAGCAGGTCCTGAGTCCTCACCTGGTGCACAGGAGAGGGACCTGCCTGCCCCACAGGGAGGCCCCAGGGGACGGCTGCAGTGGGCTCCCCAGATGGGGAAAGGGTGCCTGTGTGAACGGGCTGAAGAAAAATAAAGCGGGGATAAAAAGAACTTTGTAAAAATGCATGGATAAACATTTTTGCAAAGAAATTTCAAGCTAAGTTTTCCCCCCCAACCCCCTAAGATACATCATAAAACAGTATTCTAATGAATGGGGTTTTTCACAAGGAAGGCTCTAGAGGCAAACTTCAGAAGCCACAGGGATGAAGTGTGTTTCTTCCTTATTTAAAAATGTGTCTGCAGGAAGACTTTGGCTTTCTGTATCACTCACATTTCCCATGGACACACCCACATTCCAGTGCATGGGAGGCAGTCTCCCTTTTCAAGGGACACAATTGCAGGACTTATGTCCCTGTTTTCTGGTTTAAAAAAAAACTCTTAAAAATCAAAATTCAACATGAATAGACACAAAAGCAAAACACTGCACAGGGATGCTCTGAGTGCTACTGTGCCATGCGCGTCCTCGGCAAGATGTGTATTGGTCAAGTCTGGTGCCACCAGATTTCATGTGCCTGCTAAATAAAAGATCCACACGCACAAATGAGGATTCCCGGGACCCAGTGTGAGTCGTGAGGTACGTCTCACCTCCTGAAGCCTGGGGAGAAAATACAGTTTTATCGCACATGGCGGGTTCCTGGGTATGCCTGAAAGACCTCTGCTTTCTAGAACACTGCGCACTCTGAATATACCGTGCCAGCTAGAGAGACCAGAAGAAAATGTCCACGGCATCTGCTGATGTAGACCTCCCAGTTTTTTCATCACCAAGAAACAGTCTGACTATGCATACTCGCAAAGTTGTTTTTTGTTTTTTTTTTCCTTGAGTTGCAGTCTCACTCCGTCACCCAGGCTGGAGTGGGCACACTTACAGCCACCCCAGTGTTAACATGCTGGGCTCTGGCGAACCTTCCGCCTCAGCCTTCCAAGTAGCTGGAACTACGGGCGCACGCTACCACGCCCAGCTAATTTTTTGATTTACTGTAGAGACGAGGTTCTTGCCAAGTTGCCTGGGCTGGTCTTGACCCTGCAGGCTCAAGCAATCCACTCGCCTTGGCCTCCAAAGTGCTGGGATGACAGGCTGAGCCAATGAGCCCAGCCGAGTTTTTAATATTAAAATGAAAAAAGGGTGATTTCATATGGAAAACTCCTCATGTATACAACTAAGGTGGCTGATACAAAGGACAGAAAACAATACCAACTATTTTTTTTGGAGGATTCCAGCTGTGATCACCCTCTCCTCCACCTCTGGGAGTAGTGAGTGAAGCCCTGTTCACAGATTGCCCTTTTACTTCTAACACATGTGATTTTTAACTTGGGAAAGGTGCCTGTGTTCTACTGTCAGTCCTGACTGGCTGGGGCGTTCCCGTGTTGTCTTTCTCACAGGGTGCTTGGTCTAGCATCAGGCTCTGGAGGTGTTTGTGGGCACAAAGTTGAATGTGACCACCAGCTTGTCATTGGGTCTACAGGGCCTCTGACTGTGTGTGTGTGAGAGAGAATGTGTGTGTGTGAGAGTGTGTGTGTAAGAGTGAGTGTGTGTGTATCTCGCCTCCTACAAATAAAGGAAGATGGGACGTTGTGAGCAGTCAGAGGATATTTGGGGATGGCAAGAAAGGTGGTCACTTTCCTGGATTTAGAGCTGTAGAGATGCCATATCCCTTCAGAAGATTTAGCTGGGGAAAAAATTAAAACCATTTATTTACTTATTTATTTACTTCTTACAAAACCAGACTCTGGCTCACTTTCCTGTGGGAGAAAAACAGACCACGGTACATGGCTACATCCATCACGCCGACTTTCAGCTCTCATGACTAAGGACAGAACTGTGGAGTAGAAAATCTAAGCATCTGTTGAGTACTGGAACCCATTATGGTTTCTTGCCCCTACTGGTACAATTTGTTTTCAAAATTAAATGTTACTTAAAGTAATATTAAGATGGCTTAAATTTCGTTCCTTTTTTTTTTTTTAGTTGGAGTCTTACTCTATCAACCAGGCTGGAGTGCAGTGGCACACTCGTGGCCACCCCAGTGTCAACCTGCTGGGCTTCAGCGATCCTTCTGCCTCAGTCTTCCAAGTAGCCAGAACTGCAGGCGCATACTACCACATGCAGCTAATTTTTGATTTATTGTAGAGATGAGGGCTCGCCAAGTTGCCCGGGCTGGTATCAAACCTGTGGGCTCAGGCAATCCACTTGCCTTGACCTTCCAAAGTACTGGGATTGTAGGCTGAGCCACCGAGCCTGACCGGCTTAAATTTCTTGAGCACACAATAAATATTTAGGAGAAGGTGATCAGAAGAGAGGTTTGAGAAGGTGGGAGGCGATGGAAAAAAACACTGAACAAACCAAAAGCCACCACCCCTGCCACCACCACCATCCCCCTAAACTAAGCTTCTGATACCCACATATCTAAATCTGGAGTTGGCATAGTTATTTTGACCTATTTACCAGAGGGATAATTACTGCACTAAGTAATCCCTAAAACTCAAGGCAAGGAAATTTAGGGCAGTAGACTGGGGTGAAGCAACTCATAAAGATGTTAGCTCTGCACTATGGACTTCTGAGTCTTCCTGGGCTGTTCTCTCAGTGCCTCCGGCTATATCCTTTGCTGCAAGGTCCTGCCAGATAACGGAGTGATCACATTCTCTAAAGCCAAGTGGGGGACCTGGCTGTGCGGCCCCTGTCTGAGGATATAATCATCTTACAGGATCCTGGACAGAGGGATGAGTGCAGGCCTTTCTCTGGGAAGACGTGGGACTTATGGCGCAGGGTGTCTTCCACACGCCTGGTGAACCACAGGTATCTGAACACTGTATGTTTAAAAAATCACAACAGTCAGAGTTAAGAGCAGAGAGGAAGTTGAAACAAGGAAAAGTAACTTCGACTTTCCCGTATCTTTCCTTTTTTTGGCGATCTCCATGTTTTTTATAAAAAGGAAACACTTTTGCCTTTTAAAAAAAAAAAAAAAATACATGACTATTTCTTAAGCTGTGTTCTCTTAAAATTCACAACTTGACAAAGTAAAGCTATTCTACTTCTTACAGAAATCCATGTTTAAAGACAAAGTTTTCAGGTAAAAGCAGCTGGAACATGGGGTGAGGTTAAAGGAAAAGGGAAAGAAATTAAACAGGAATCTTCTTGAGTGCTTGTCTAGCCTAGCTTCTTTTCCCATATTCCGAACAAGTTAAAAAACCACCTTCTGCTTTAGAGCAGCTTCAATTACGGAAGAAGAAACCAGAAGAAAGAATGACAAACCCTCCTTATTTGGACTAGCTCATGAACCATTTTATAATTAGCTGTAATTTATTCTTAGCAGTAACTTCCTGAGGTTTATTTTGTTTTATTGGCAGAGAAGCAAGACAATCAATCACTAACTTGCTTTCCCAGAAGACCCCCAATTAAACAAAGGCCAAGTCAATCCTAACTGTGGAATTTATCATTAGACTGAAAACCACTGCCTACAGAGAGGCAGCCACACAATCACAGGGTATGTGGACTCTGGAAAACCTGGCAAATGCAGGAGAGAGAGAGGGCTTCCCCGCACAACCTGCGGCCCATTGGTCCCCTTCCCCTGATCAGGATTCACATGTGAGGGTGTGATGTGTCATGTTGATTTGGGAGGGGCAGTCCCTAGCCATTTTTTGATGGCAGCAGCTAGTAACTGCCTATAAAATCCACAGTGGATGAGCCCTTCATCTAAAGGGACAGATGAAGAATTAAGTCAAAAGGTAAATGTAAGACTGAGCAAAAAAGAGGATGGAAGTAAACGGTTCAGGCTTAGGTTTTTGCAGTGTCTTGCTGTGTGGCCCATGCTGGAGTGCAGTGGCCATTCACAGGCACGATCACCACACACCACAGCCTTGAACTCCTGGGCTCCAGCAACCCGCTCGAGAGGCTGGGACTAGGTGTATGCCACCATGCCCAGCTTCTAGTTTTTTTGTTTTCTGAAAACACGAATAACAGCAATAAAACGCCCGCTTTCTGTCACGACACTGGTTGGACTCGGCACCTTCCAAACGCATGCTCTAGACGCCAGCGCTGCCTGCCCGGGATGAGGGCGGCACCTACCTTCCTTCTGGCTGCCCGCCGCGCTCTGCTGCTGCAGCAGGCTCTGGCTGTACAGGGTGGGCAGCGCGGCGGCTGCATACTGCTGAATTCCTGAGTAGGCCTGGGTGAGGGCGTCCATGGTGCCAGCCGTGCCATTCGTCAAGCCTGTGGCGCCAAGTCCTCCGTTCAGAGCCGCCATACCTGAGAGCATTTGAGCAACTTTACAAAAAACCCAACAATAGAGAAGAGAAACAGCACTTATTCATTAGTGCTTTCCAAAGGAAGTTAGAGAATCATTTGACACAAGTACAACAGCAAGGACATGCAGCTAGCACACCGACTGAACCAGCAGGAAATTAAAACAAAACCATGAGAAAAAAATCATAGTCATGGGAAAAAAGGCCTGAGCCATGATTGCCCTCACTCCCTAGGCCAGTGATCAAATGCACAGAGGCACTACAGTTAGACAATACATCTTAGTCCCATGCAATGTGCTACTGGCAAGTACCGTTGTTTCTTTTTTTTTTTTTGAAGTAAAAGCCTCCTGCTTCTTAGAGCTTAGAAGCGCGGACAAAAAAACCTTAGTGGCAGAAGCCTGTAACTTGTGTACGCTTAAATCCATTTACTGGGCTCTCTGAGGAGCCATGGGATGGCTCACGGGGTTGAAGAGGAAAAGATAAATAAAACTTTCCTCCCTAAAGCTGTCTGATGAGGAAGTGGCAGAGAAGACAAGTTCTGTGCTCCACAAACCAGCGAGTTGGCAGTTCTGTTAACTGGCTTTCCTGACCAGGTGAAGGATGTTGACAGGGAATGCACAGCCTCACTGACGAGCAGCCGGGGCACAGGAAGGAACCGGGCCCTTCCCATACCTGCACAGAACTGAAGCCAGTGATTCACAGATCAACGTGGTATGCTCCTGTCTGTATACACAAATACACACGAGTGTTCATCGGTGCCCAGGTAACCAGGGTTTCTGCCAACCAGAGAGTTCCATGGTTTTCAGTCATCTGAAGTGGCACCTGTGGCTGGCTGGATCTTGGCTATTAATGGATGTGAACTGGAAGTTGGCCAGGATAGCTTTTTTAAAAAATCTACTACCCTGGCTGCGCTCTGCTTTATTATCGTTGTGGACTGTCACATTTTCCCTGAATACTGAATCAAAAGTAGCAACACTTTACAGACTGTTAACTTTATTCGAGCGCAGGAAACAGAAGAGGTGACATCACCATTGCCTCTGGGTCCTTTTATGAGTAAAAAAAAATTTTTTTAAAGATCTGTTTCTAAGAGCTTACTGAAAACATTAATGAAAATCTTGATGGGACCAGGGCTATGATTAGAGATGAAAATAGCCAGGATGACTGACAAAATGGGCAAGCCATCTAGTGGGAAGAGAGGACAGATAACATAGGATGTGTGGACATCTCTCCGAGGAGCCCGGCCGCAGTGTCACTTCGGCACACCGGTCAGTGCAGTGCTTTTCATCCAAAGGGGGCGGAGGTGGTGGGACTCTGTTCACTCCGTTCTGTTGTTTTGCCAACTTCATCTCTTCGGATCAAAGGACAACATGAGATATGAATTAGACAAGGGCTGGACAGGAGAGGATGCGTATCGTGCCTCAGGTCTGCAGTCCCCGAGGCCAGCACTGGGGCTGGGGATGGCACCGAGGTGGTTTTCCTTGGTGCAGGCGCAGGAGGGTGGTGGTGAGGCCTGCTGAGGGAAAGCGATGGTGAGCAGATCAGCGAGCCCAGGCTAACACAGGTGGTGGCTCTCAGGGTCCTGCTGGACCTGCCTGAAGTTTCAGATTACGAAGGTCTCTCTTACTGTTTTCCGGTGGTCATGCAAATGAGTGCTTCTTAAGAGCTCAGAAAGAGTTTGTCCTCTGGCACTCTCGTGAGGAGTGATCACAGCGACCTCCTTGCCTCTCTTCTTCCCCATCCTTGTTACTGTTCCAGCCGCCCAGAGGCTGGGAGTAATTCTGTCTCCCCCAGCGGTCTTACTTCAGCCTCACCTCCCAGTGTGCGTGATGCCCACAGACATCAGTGTTCCCTTTCTGAGAGAGGTGAGAGGTGAGTGTAAAATAACTCGGAAAAGGCTAGGCACTACGGATAAACTTCGGTGGTTTTGTTTTTGTGAGGCTGTGAACAGGTGCTAGGGATTATAGACGAACAAGTCATGGAATCCTCTAGAAACCCAGCTTCCTGTGTGGGAGGAAGTTCCAACAGGGGAGCAAGGGGTGACTTGCCACGCCATTCAGATCCCAAGGCACGAGGCTCTCGGTGTGCGTGGTGGTCTGTGGAGCCACATGTGACCCTGCTGCCCCACACGTAGGCTGGAGACAGAGCTCCACGCTGACAAACGTCTCTGTGTTCCCACCACTCCATGGAATGGTCCAGAGCATTGCCTGATACCTCGTCAGCTAAGGGTCTTGGTGTTTTCAGGCTCTGCCACATAAAGCCCAATGCCTTCCTGTGACCAGTAGCCTCTGCGACTTGCTTCCCCAGAGGGCCAGACACACAGGGGACATTTCATTGCAGTGATCACTAGTGCCCAGCTCCCTTCTCTTCTGGTATGTGGTTCCCCTCTGGTACGTGGCCTTTTTTTATTGTCCTTTTTTATTGTCCAGGTTAGGAGAGTTATCTTCCTCCTTTACTTCTTTCCCATCTTGCCAGAAAAAACTTCTAATATAGAAGCTGAATGAACTTTATGCTCCTCAAATGCCAGATGGATGTTTCAGGACTAAAGAGGCTCCTTGGCAGGCCTGTAGCTCTGGCAGGTGGTAGTCCAGCCACGTCCTCTCTTCCTGGCTTCAGTGCGCAGCGGCTGGCTGTGTTTCTGGACTACACTTCAGGGCAAGTCTGCTTTCTGGAAGGGTTCTGTTTGCTTCTAGGTGCACATTGCTTCTACTGGTGCTGTGTCTGTAGGAGACAGTCATGGATGACCCTACCTGCCTGGGAAAGGGGAGGTGAGCAAGGTGCAGATAGAGAAGGCACACCAGGAAGGGGTGTAGATGCCAAAGGGTGGTCTGGTCAGGGGCTTGTGCAGGTGAGGGGGGAGGGCTTGGCCTCTCTGGCCCAGGCCTCCTCCAAGGTACCACCACCCATTGGAACAAAAACTAAGGGTGAAAGTTCTAACAAGTTCAGGTGCACTGAGACTATTGAAGACCAAAACTGTCTTGGAAAAATCTGTGCGGTACGTTCGCCAAATCTAGGATAGAAGAGGAAGTTGATAACATGGTAGAATCGAAAAACCATCAAAGGAAAATTTCAGCTTCTGAGAGCAATTCCGGTGAATTACCTGATGTATAATGTATATTAACCTTTTGCACTCAGAGACATCTTGCAAATCACCTCGAGACAGTGAAAAACGAATCACTTCCTATTAAATAACAGAGCGCTGGAACCAATTATTTTATGTAATGATATTTGGCTTATCATGGAATTTTGGACATTGAGGAACTTATTCATTACCAAAAAAATAAACATTTTAAATCTATTTTTTAAATGTATGGTAACATGTTAAACAGTCACCGACATGCATTGCAGGTTCACTGATGCATATTGTGCAACAGTAATTTGTTGGACGTCTTCCACCTGGTGTTTTTCTGTTCGAGCAGACAATGCAGTCTTGCTTTCTTCCCCCCACATTAACAATATGTAATTCATTGTCCAGTCTGTGCACCACTGTGAAAGCACTTCATAAGTTGTCTTTCTATATGCCAGTTGACTTTCTTTAACGTGTATTTCAGTATATATTCCATTTATTTTCTTTTCTTTTTTTTTTTTGGGTTGGAGTCTCACTCTGTCACTCAGACTGGAGTGCAGTGGCTGCTCCCAGCCACTGCAGCCTTGACCTGCTGGGCTCCATCGATCCTTCCACCTCAGCCTTCCAAGTAACTGGAACTACAGACGCGCACTACCATGCCCGGCTAATTTTTGATTTATTGTAGAGATGAGGTCTCGCCAAGTTGCCTAGGTGGGTCTCGAACCCATGGGCTCAGGCGATCCACTCACCTCAGCCTTCCAAAGTCCTGGGATTATAGGCTGAGCCACCGAGTCCGGCTATATTCTATTTCTTTATTTGCTTTTTCATGCAATTTGAATGGGAAACTTCAAGGAAAAATACATTTTTGAAAAATTTACACTGGCTTACGTTTGTCCTGTATAATGACCAGCAATCTTTTTATGACCTCTGAGGGGGACATCCAAGTGGTTTGCTAGATTTCTGATGTCCCGTAAGAGGGAACAGCTGAGTGCAAAGGGTTAAATAATGATCATTTAAAAGATAACACTAGCTGACTCAGCTGCTGGGACCTGATCACCTCTAAAAGCTTTGGACAGTGGAAGCAGAGATTTGAAGAAACTTAAGCTGAATAAAATGCTTCCACTGAAAAGAATAGGGCTTTTCCTTGAAATGGCCAAATGGATCGACTCCTTCCTCTCATTTACTCTCGATTCCCACGCGTGTGTTTGGACACGGCAGGCTGGAAGAAAGTGACAGGTGTGGCAGGGCTCTGCAGGGAGGTCTTTGCACCTGCTCCGTCAGGGGAGTCGGCGCACAGCCTGACTACTAAATGCCTTACACTTAATTACTCTCCAGAGGTCCTCACCTGACAGAGACCAAGGAGCTGTGAGGTTACAGAGCAGACCTGTTAAAATGACGTGGGAGGACTAACCCACAAATGTGAGCATGAGCCTTTTTTGTGGCAACTGTGGAGATGGTACTGAGAAAGAGAATCAGAGGCCAAGTACCACATTTACTTGCAAGTCTCTCTACTAGGTTTTATACCAAATAACAAAGAAAGAGAAAGTGCAGAATGTATTAATATGTTCTCGTAGATTTGTAACGTGTTTGCTGGCATAAGTTTTCCTTTGTGCAGACGGGGTGTATCCTCTAAGCTGCAAGCTGATAATTGAGGATCTACGGAGAAACCGTCTGGAAGCAGGGTAGATCAAAATGAGTATGTGCTATCAGTGTCACACATATGCCTGTGTTAATCAGGTCACCAATGTGAGTGGGGCTGTGTGCACCTGTGCATGTTTCCAACTGCATACATCTTTATAAGTTCCAAGAATACAGACTGAAACAGTAATTTCACAATGCAGATAAAGAGCAATAGGCTAGAGTCATATGCCCAGAGCATCTTCTCTTTCTCTACTTTACATACAGTATTTCCAAAAACACTGTTCAGCAGGCATCTGTGGCTGGTTATAGTAAACCAATCATAATTTTAAGCACTATATGGTAAGCCACTGAAAAGAATTACGCAGTTTCCATAAGGAAAAATAAGGATGCCACTTGACATGCACTTAGATACAAAGGACCATATACAGACTCTCTTGGGCAGGCAATCTGCAAAATCATGTCCTTCATCTAAGTTCAGATGTGAATATTCAAAACATGCCCAGGGAACCCTCAGGGAGTCCTGGGGGAAAAGCCCTGGTGGCGAATTCCCATTTCTTCCTGACCTCACCGATCCCTGCTTTCATCTTTAGGGCGCTGTACTGTTTTTTAGCCCCTTCGTTTATTCATGTATAAGGAAAGAAAAAAGCTACCAAACTCTAGCATTTCATTTACCTACTTGTCTACTGACAAAAACTTCATTTGGGGTGAGGGGCTGGGCCTTCTGGCTGGGGGGAGGGTAACATTTAGGCCACGCTGAGTCATCTGCTGAGTCATCTACCTACTTTCTTGCTGGCCGCTGTGTCCATGAGACAACTTTGGTTCTGTTCAGAAAGCCAGGACACTCTCCTTATGGAAGCAAATTGTGGCTCCCCGGGTGGGGTGAGGTAGGAACGGCAATGCCATGGAAGCTGTGGTCAACTGTTTTAGAAGCTGACTCGGTCCAGGTAGCGGTTTCTTGATGACCTTCTTTGAGGATTATCTAGTAGAACAGGTAGTACATCATTTCTGTTGAGGAAAAATTGTCTGAAAGAGTAGTCTTCAGAGGCTTTGCCCTGATATTTAATTTGAGACAAGTAGCAGATATTAGCTCCAGGTCAATGTTGAGACTGTGAAATAGCTCTACAATAGTTACACTCGTCGAATCAGAAGGAGTGTATATATTTCCATTTGTGTATGCTCTTTGCTTAATTAAACATTTTCTTGGTTCAGTCTAGTAGGGGTTGTTTGAGACCAGAAACATTATTTTTTTTTTTTGAGTTGGAGTCTCACTCTGTCGCCCAGACTGGAGTGCAGTGGCCGCTCCCGGCCACCGCAGCCTCGACCTGCTGGGCTCCGGCGATCCTTTTGCTCAGCCTTCCAAGTAGCTGGAACTATAGGCGTGCGCTACCATGCCCGGCTAGAAACATTCTTTCTTAAATGTCCCACGAACTGTGCATACTTTAATGCCCAATGGCAAAGAATTTTTAATTCAATGTAAACCCGTTGTCCTTGCCAGAAGCAAAATTTGTGTAACACAAGACCCCGCACGAGAACTAGTCATGGTTTCTCTGCCATTCAACAAAGCCCTTCTCAAATCCCTCACGATAATGATGGGAAAATCCCAGCAACGTACAGCAGCATAGGGTGGACAGGGCAGGACACGAACAAGAGGACACACACACACACACACAGCAGTCATGAGCACGTGCTGAGGAGGACAACCATTCCCACTGGCCTGATACTCTGCAGACCAAGGACAGGCAGGCGATCAAATCAAAGTCCTTGTTTTGGGGGAACTAGGTCCTGGGGCAAGAGAAGCAGCATGAGGGCATGTGTGCGGACACGCATCCTCAACCTAGGTGAAGGACAAGGTCAGAGAGAGGAGCTGTACCAGAAACGGGCATCAAGGAAGGAGGCTCCTACTTGGCTGCTGGAAAAGGTCAAAGCCGGAGGCAGTTTTAACTGGAATAAAACATTCTTGCTGTCACAGGGTTACCCCCATCAGGGACTCTATGCTAATCAAGGCCATCATATTTGGAAGGAAGATGTTTTTCTTTTCCCTGTGGTCGGATAAAACTCAGTCCAAGTTTTTGATTTCCCCAGAGCATCTGAATAACAGGACTTAATAACACCTGAACATCTCCTTCTTCTAAACATATGATTTATTTTCTTATCAGGATTATAAAAGTTAATTTTTGTTGGGATAAGTTTTAGGCTCTCTTTTTACCAAATAAATTTTTGAGATTTTAAAGTATGAAATGATTGGGTTTTTTTTTTTTTTTTGCTTTAAAAAAATTATACGGTCTGATGAGCCTTTAAAAACGGTCCACTTAGTGAATCATGGCTTAAAATGAGACCACTGTCAAGGGTCTCTTTATTAAGTTATCATGGGCGAGTGCTGGGCAGCCTGGGCTGTGTGTGGGTAGCACAGCCCGACCGGTAGCTCTGTTGGCTGCCATAGGCCTGCTGGGATCAGCCAGTCTCAAGCAACCTGGGGGTGCCGACTTGAGGGATGGGCCAATTAGGTAGGTATCCCCCGTCACGTGGGCAGAGGATCATTTTCTCTAGTGCAGCAGGCTGCACCCAGCATGGGCTTATACAATGACTCATCCTGGGACCTGGACGCTTTTCCCACAGAGATGTACAATGGTAGGAGTGTAGGAGTGGGCAGGCTGAGCAGAGAACAACCTCGGGTTCTTTGGTGGGTCCGCCGGTTTCAGAAACAAGTGCAATTTTTTGAGCTCTTTGCCTCAAAACCGATTTCTCCCTGCCACTGTGAAGCAGTGCCCCACCGGACAGTCCCTGCTGTAGCGCGGTCCACGTCTGCGGGTGCTGCTAACAAACATCCCAGATGATGTTCCTTCCGGCCACAGCTCCTCTCCACTCAGTTTCCTTTCTGTCTTTCCAACACCTCATTCTGCCCCCTGTGTAACTGTCACAAATCTTTGGATTTTAAAGCTGGAAGGTACCTTTAAGATCATCTGATGCGGAACTTTCCATGTTCAAATGGAGACTCTGAAGTCCAGAAGTGGAGCAGCGTCTGACCAGCAGCAGAGCTGGGCTCAGGCTTCCTGACTCCAGTCCATTCACTTTTCCATGACAGTACCCTGACTCGCTGGACAGAACCAAGCCAAAACCAAACCAAACCAGATTCCTTGAAACCTAAAAGTATCTGTCAGCTGCAGAAATCTAGGGGTGAGTGCACATACTATATACTGCAAAGAATCTGGGGGTGGGGAGCGTCGGGGACTGCCTGAGACCAGTGAACGCAGCTCGCTACTGCCTGTCAGTGCATGCGCTCCTCCATCCCAGTGTTAGTTCTCCCGTCTCATGTCCTTTTAGGTCATTTCTGGCTGACCACTTTCTATGGAGAATTTAGGGGAAGGCTGTCCACCAGAGCAGCAAATACTCACTGTTGATGGTACCTGCTAGTGCATTAATATTATTCAGTCCAACTGTGGCTCCAGCTAGTCCTTGCAGGGTCCCAAGAGAGGTCAGGGAATTCATGGCTGCACCAGCAGTGGAGTTGGGGGTTGAAGCAGCCACTGAAAAACAAAAGGGAGGCCAAAGAAAAGGGGGAGAGAAAGCACAAGGTGAGTGACAGCCCACTGGACCAGAAGGTAATCCGTCCCCGTCAAGGGAGACAAGCCTAGGGCTAGCCGCTTTGTTATCCCAAGTCTGAAGCCCAGCTGTGGTTCTGGTGTGAAAGACATGCGGGGTGGTACTGTGGCAATCTGACCATTAGATCCGGTGATTACAGAAATTATCAGTGTTTTGCCGATACAGCAGATCTGCTTGTTGCTGGCTAGCAGAGGACAGTTTGTGAGTGGGAGGCCTGTCCCTCTAGGTGGTCCTGCGTCAGCCCACTTTAGGAGGGCCTCAGTCCTCAAAGGCCTCCTCCTGTTCAGGCTAGAAAGTTACTCAAATACAAAGGGGCAGGGTGGGGGAGTCAAATGACCATTGTTTGTTTCAGACTCCGTATTTTCTCAGTGAAGCTTTGAAGAAAGCATCCTGTATTCTCCTGAGTTTGATAGAAAACTTTAGGACCCAGAAAGGGGGTAAGTGATATGAGATAAAACCATTTTAGGAGAAACTTTCTCCTTTTCCTATTCCTTTAAAAAAACAAAAATAAAAACAGCTTTATTGAGATATAACTCACATTCCATAAAATTTACCCCTTTAAAGTATACAATTCAGTGGTGTTCAGTATACTCAGAGTTAAACAGTCATCTCCCCTGATTTTGGAACATGTGTATTGCTCCTAAAAGAAGCCCCCACACATTTTGACTCACTCGCCAGTCTCCTGTCCCCTTCAGCACTGACGCCCACAAATCGACTTTCTGTCTCTGGATCTGCCTAGTCTAGATGTCTAGATAATTCATATAAATGGAATCATGAAATCTGTGATCTTTTTGTGATTGGCTTCTTTCACTTGGTATAACGTTGTCAAGGGTCGTCCATAGAGGCATGTACCAACATGTCATTCCCTTTTTAAAAAAAGTTTATTCGTTTATTTATTTAGAAACAGGGTCTCCCTATGTTGCCCAGGCTGGTCTTGAACTCCATGCTTCAAGCGATCCTTTTACCTCAGCCTCTTGAGCAGCTCAGATTACAGGCACTCACCATCACACACAGTTAGAAATTAACTCCTTTTTACTATTGAATAATATTTCATTGTATGGAGAGCATGACGTTTTATTTATCCATTCAGCAGTTGTGGACATTTGGGCTGTTCCCATTTGGGGGCCGTTACGAATAATGATGCTATGAACATCTGTGTACAAAGTTTTTGTGTAGACATATATTTTCAGTTCTCCTGATTATATACCTAGGAGAGGAACTGCTGGGCCATGTGATGAATCTATGCTTATTTAACATTTTGGGGAACTGCCCAACTGTTTTCCAAAGTGGCTGAACCCCCATCCCTTTTACTTATAACTGCTTCTGTAAAGTATTTCGAGTATCTTACATTTGCATAGCTTGACAAGCTGCAGACCTTTTCCCCATAATTGTGCTGTCTTGATGATGATAGGAAAGGCTCAACTAAATTCTGACCACTGATAGAAGCACCTGGTCCCTTTCTAGCTGTGAAGTCCCAAGTATGTGAACTCCCTCTCCATCTAGGAGAGCCAGCAACTTTATCCATCCTCATGGGATGTCCCTGCCTAACCCGTCACTCCTGCTCTACCTTCAGGCATCACATAGCACTGCTTACGATGTGTCCTGCTTGGTTTCCTGTTTGGATGAGGGCAAGTCGAATTCCAAGAAAATAAGTTCCCCATCTTGTCATATTTCTGTTCATGTATGGCATTAGCTTCTGACACCTGATAATGTATATTTTCTTTCTTTTTGAAAGAAGATTGCCGGGCTTGGTGGCTCAGCCTGTAATCCCGCGCCTTTGGGCGGCTGAGGTGAGTGGATTGCCTGAGCCCACGGGTTCGAGACCTGCCTGGGCGGTGAGACCTCATCTCTACAATAAATCAAAAAATCAGCTGGGTGTGGTAGCGCGCGCCTGTAATTCCGGCTACTCGGAAGGCTGAGGCGGAAGGATCACCGGAGCCCAGCAGGTCGAGGCTGCGGTGGCCGGGAGCGGCCACTGCACTCCAGTCTGGGCGACAGAGTGAGACTCCGACTCAAAAAAAAAAGAAAGAAGATTATATATCGTCAAGTCAGTGTTTTTAATCCTATTATGAAATTTCCAAACACACAAAAGCAGAGACAATAATAAAATTCTATCAACACTCATCCAGATTCTAGAATACTCAAGAACTGACTGACCCCCTCTTCTTAAGTGTATTTTAAAGCACAATGCAGACCTTATGGCATATCAGCCCTACATACTTCAGTACGTGTAAAAAGCTCTAAAATTTACAAACATCTTGTTTTAAAATCCCCAAACCATTATTATACATAACAAAGTTAGCAATAATTAGTTGGCTTCGTTATTTGACAATATCTTGTTTAGGGTTTTTAAAAATCCATGTGCATGAGTAAGACTGGCTTTTCTTTTTTCTTCTTATACCTTAGTTTTGTGACCAAGCTTTTATATACCTCATAAAATGACTGGGAGTATGTGCCTATTTTTCTGTTCTCTAGAATAGACTGTATAAGATTAAAATAAATTGTAACTTGAGTGTCTGGAAGAACTTTCCAGTAAAAAATGTTCTGGACTTGAAAGTTTATTCACGGGAGTATTTTGAAATGCTCATTACATTTCCCTAATAAATAGGATGATCCAACTTTTCTTCTTCCTCTTGAATCAGTTTTATTAAGTTACTGTTTTTTAAGAACCTGTGTGTTTTGTTTCGGTTTTCAAGGTATAAAGTCATTCATAATAGCTTCAATACATTTTTGAAATCACCAACATTTACATTTAAGTCTCATTTTAAAAAATCTGCTTGATTTGTCAGATGTCTGAAAGAGGCATGCGAAAATCTCCCACTATAATGCCAGTTTCTCCATGTAAATATGTAACTTTCCAGAAATGTGTATTTCTAGACAAGAAGTTGCTACTTAATGTAGATGTTTGGAAATGATCATATCTTCTGAAATAAACCTTTTGTGACTATTTCTAGTTTCTCCTCGAAGTCTGTTTTTACGCAAATATTGTGTAAAAACCTTTTTGGGCTATTTGCGTAGTATATCTTTTGCCATCTTTTTACTTTTTTAATCTGTTTATGTTTTGGCTATGTCTCTTGTTATCGATATATAGTTTAAAAAAATACGGTCTAATAATTTGATAATCTTTTAATAGTAGCATTCAGATTTTATGACATTTGGTTTGTGAATATATTTTTTTCTCTCCTTTCTTGCCTTCCTTTAGATTTGTCTACTACTTTGGAAGTAATGCATACTATTTCCATTTTTTTATATATTACCACAAAAAAGTCATCCTTTGAAAAATCAAACTTAGCTATTACCTTTGTTTTTTTCCAGAAGAATTCAAGGACCTTAGGATACTTTAACTCAGAAAAGCCCCCCCGCTAAACCATGTATGGTATAGTTATGTTGTCATGTATTTTGGCTTTAGCTTGGTCCTTTTCTTTATTCCAGCACATGATTATTCTTTTAGACAGCATGTATTTAGATGTGCCCACACATTTACCACTTCTTTTACTTATTATTCCTTCTTTGTTCATCTGGGTTATCTGTCCTTTAGTTTGAAGCATAGCCAGCAGAATTTTTAGTGAAGGTCTCCTGGTGAAAAATCTCTTAGTTTTCCTTGGTGTGAAAAGTGTATATTTATCTTGTTCTAGTTTGTCTAGTTTTGCTGGATATTCTAGGGTGACAGTTTGTCTCTGCATGTTTTACTGCCCACTGACTTCCATTAAAATACTGTTGAGAGGTTAGGTATTGAGATGTCTAATTGTGCTCCTTTGCTTTATTTTATTTCATCTTTTTCTCTGTTTTAAAGATCTCGTCTTTGATGTTCTGCATTTTCACTATGGTGCTTCCAATTATAGATTTTTATTTTTTCCTTGTTCGGAATTAATTTAGATTCCTGAATAGGTGGATTTCTGGTTTTGTCATTCAGTGGTTCTGGAAAGTTCTCGGTCATTAACTGTTTTATATTGTCTTTTTCCCATTCTCTCTCTCTTTTCCCTCAGGAACTTCAACCGGGCATAAGTTATGTTTATTCCATGTCATGTAAGCTCTGATTTTAAAAAATATCTGTTTCTTAGTTATGTATACTCACCACATTATCTCTTCAACTGTATCTAATATGCTATTAAACTTACATATCCATTGCACATTTTATTATACTTTTCATTACTAGAAATTTTTTAATCAACATGCTTGGTCACTTTGAATAATAATTATTTTCATTTTTCAAATCCTTTCAGGTTTCTGTAAACACAGTAACTGTAATTCCTTTCTGTTGTATGCTAATAATTCCAATATCTGTCTCTATGGATCTGTAGATGGTGTCTAACTCTGTCTCTGCTGCTTCTTGCTTTTGGTACTTGGTTTACTTGCGAGTTTTGTGATTTTTAAAAAAATTGTGAGCCTAACTATCTTAGAACTTTACTTCTGTGAATTCTTTGAGTCCTTGGTTGGAGATGACCTTTTTCAAGGATAACTTACATTTGATCCCACAAGGTGGTAGAACAAAGTACAAGTTGGGGATCACTCTAAATTCGTGGCTTGAAGAGTTTTGAATACTCAGATAAAACAAAATTAGGTTATAAACTCATGTGAGGGATGGTTTATTGTTATAAATCCACAGAGGGAAATTCCTCTAGCCCTACTCTGCACTAGTTTTCAGACAGGCAGCTTTCCTTGTTTTCTAAGGGAGAGTTTTTTTGGTTCATCCTTACATTAAGAGTTTAGCCTTTGAGGTTTAGACGTATGGGGGGGTCTCCAATTAGATAGCTCAGGAGAACCCTGGGCTCTTCTTGTATTTCTTATACACCGGAAAGCTTTGACAGTGCTCAAGTTTATCTAGTTTACCAAATGTCCTTAAGGTGAAAGCCACCTTCAATGCTACGTACTTCTGTGCGATCCCCTTTCATTTAACCATTGATTTCTGAGTATTCCTTACTAA